CAGGGCTGGGGGGCAGGAATAGCAGGGGCTGTGGGGTGGGAGTGAGGGGCATTGGCAGAGCTGGGGGGCAGGAATAGCAGGGGCTGTGGGGTGGGAGTGAGGGGCATCGGCAGAGCTGGGGGGCAGGAGTGGCAGGGGCTGTGGGGTGGGAGTGAGGGGCATCGGCAGAGCTGGGGGGCAGGAGTGGCAGGGGCTGTGGGGTGGGAGTGAGGGGCATCGGCAGAGCTGGGGGGCAGGAGTGGCAGGGGCTGTGGGGTGGGAGTGAGGGGCATCGGCAGAGCTGGGGGGCAGGAGTGGCAGGGGCTGTGGGGTGGGAGTGAGGGGCATCGGCAGAGCTGGGGGGCAGGAGTGGCAGGGGCTGTGGGGTGGGAGTGAGGGGCATCGGCAGAGCTGGGGGGCAGGAGTGGCAGGGGCTGTGGGGTGGGAGTGAGGGGCATCGGCAGAGCTGGGGGGCAGGAGTGGCAGGGGCTGTGGGGTGGGAGTGAGGGGCATCGGCAGAGCTGGGGGGCAGGAGTGGCAGGGGCTGTGGGGTGGGAGTGAGGGGCATCGGCAGAGCTGGGGGGCAGGAGTGGCAGGGGCTGTGGGGTGGGAGTGAGGGGCATCGGCAGAGCTGGGGGGCAGGAGTGGCAGGGGCTGTGGGGTGGGAGTGAGGGGCATCGGCAGAGCTGGGGGGCAGGAGTGGCAGGGGCTGTGGGGTGGGAGTGAGGGGCATCGGCAGAGCTGGGGGGCAGGAGTGGCAGGGGCTGTGGGGTGGGAGTGAGGGGCATCGGCAGAGCTGGGGGGCAGGAGTGGCAGGGGCTGTGGGGTGGGAGTGAGGGGCATCGGCAGAGCTGGGGGGCAGGAGTGGCAGGGGCTGTGGGGTGGGAGTGAGGGGCATCGGCAGAGCTGGGGGGCAGGAGTGGCAGGGGCTGTGGGGTGGGAGTGAGGGGCATCGGCAGAGCTGGGGGGCAGGAGTGGCAGGGGCTGTGGGGTGGGAGTGAGGGGCATCGGCAGAGCTGGGGGGCAGGAGTGGCAGGGGCTGTGGGGTGGGAGTGAGGGGCATCGGCAGAGCTGGGGGGCAGGAGTGGCAGGGGCTGTGGGGTGGGAGTGAGGGGCATCGGCAGAGCTGGGGGGCAGGAGTGGCAGGGGCTGTGGGGTGGGAGTGAGGGGCATCGGCAGAGCTGGGGGGCAGGAGTGGCAGGGGCTGTGGGGTGGGAGTGAGGGGCATCGGCAGAGCTGGGGGGCAGGAGTGGCAGGGGCTGTGGGGTGGGAGTGAGGGGCATCGGCAGAGCTGGGCCCAGCGCTGCTCGGAGACATGTTCCTGGGGCTGACGCTGCTGGGCATGGAGCTGCTGTGAACCTGCCCCAGCCCTTGCTGGGCTGTGGAGTTGGGCTCAGGCCAGTTACGGAGGGGGCAGGCGAGCAGACACAATGGCAGGGGGCTCAGGGCCAGAGACTGCTGGGTGGAGAAAAGGGCCTGGGGGTTTAGATGGTGGGGCAGTGAAAGGGGGCTGGGGGCTCTGGAGGACACTGGTGACTGCCTGGCCTGCCCAGCCCTGGCACTCATGCAGCGCAGGGGCTCGACACAGCTCCCATATCACTTCCCCCCGCTCATGCATCTTCCTTGCTGCCATGGCGCCTGATGGGCACAATCCCGGCACATCCTGCGCCCCCCCTGCCAGGCCCACTGACGGGGGGTGGGGGGGCAACTGCCCCAGGGCCCTGCCATTCAAAAGGGCCTGGGGCCGTTGGTCACTGTTGCAGCCCCAGGCCCTTTACATGGCTGCGGGAGCACCGCTTGGCACACTTCAGTCCTGTCACTTCCAGCCAAGGCTCCGCCCACTTGCCTAGGCCCCAGCCAGTCTGCCAGATGCCCTGCTCTCTGCCCCTGGGGCCATGCTGCCCTTTCCCTTTCCTGCCCGATCACAAAGAGATTTACCAACAAGTAGCTCCTACCCCCCCTCACAATCACCCTCCCCCACAAGGGATGCCTCCCCTTTCCTTTCTGTTACAGTCATAATCAAGTCTCATGTTCCAGGGCTGATGGCCCCAAGGGTCAGGCAGAAGTCCCTGCTCACAGGGACTGGATTTTCCTGCATGTCTGAAGCAGTTGGTGCTGGAGATGGGGTGCAGGATGGCCTCAGGGTTGATCAGCTCCCCCTCTAGCACTTAGTTTAACCCTGATGGAAACTGGCCTGAGGTAACTGAGGGAGGAAGGGGGCAGACTCCAGCCCAGGAAGGGCCCATCTCTTTCCGTGCAGGTGTCTGAGTGGTGGGCGCAGGCTCTCTGCCAACTCAGGCAAATGCAGCCATGTTGGTTTTCCCCAGCATCACCAGGGAAAGGTTTTCTGCACAGTGAGACCAGATGGGGTCTGGATTTCGTTTTCTAGGAAAAACGGTGGCTGTGGAGAACATCGGGGAGATCTCTCAACCCCCCGCCCCCGCCAGGTTGGGCCTGCTTCCTCCCCCTCGGGCCAAAGCCACAGAGAAAGTAACATTTTGGGGCTATGCATGTTTGCTTCTTCCCTTCAATGTGGCCCAGCTGGAAGAACCTGCTGGCTGAGCTCTGCCGTGGGAGCAAAAGGTGCTGGGTTTGCACAGGGCTGGGGAGGGGGGTAAGACACGCAGAGTCAGCAGCAGAGGAGAAAGGCGTCTCCAGCAGCCCCTCGTTGCAGCTTCCCAGCCCGCCGGGCGACCCGCAGCAGCAGGGCTGCTACCTCGCCCTTTCCGGTGAGATCCCAGAGACTTGAAGCTCCTCCCCCCCTTCAGCCTCAGCAACCCCATCGGACAGCGGGGGAAACTGAGGCACAGAGCGGGCACGGCCAGTGTCGCACAGCGAGTCACGAGCAGACCCCTGCCCCCGGGGACCCATCCCCCCAGCGCTGCCGGGGGCCGCGGGGATTGCACGAAGCGGGGGGCCAGCCCCCTCCCGAGCCCTGTCCCCTCCCCCCGCGGCGGAAGAACCAGGCATCCGGGC